GTCCCACATACAGTTCATGATTTTCTAACTATAAAGCAATAATGCTTTGCTTTATAATTCAAAATAATCCAGCAGCTACAGTTGAGTCTCTAAAGTTCTAGCTCAAACTGGAAAGCTAGGGAAGACTCTGGCCATAAAGATATAGGCCACTAACTTGCCATTTGACAACTGTCGTTCATTAAGCTTATAGCCATATGAGTATTTGTCCAGGTAGGTGACTGAACCTGAAATAAGGGTAGCAATATTTGCAAAAAGCAGCCAGGATATAACAGACACAGCTGTAGCAGTTGCTCAGGTGAGCTTTTGGACACAGGTGGTACTCCAGAGTCACACAAAAGAGCTAACTTTATCAAATGAAATTCCATTGCTTGTCTCCTTAAATGTTTTTAAAGCTTAACAGCAGTTGCCATTTTAACAATGATCTTAAACAGAACCCGTAGGAAGTATGAAATGTGAATGTATATCTTCACTACTGACTGAACTGAAGCTATTGTTAAATGCCAAAAATGTTTAAATGTTTAGTCAAGTATTGTACGATGTATCTGCCTATAGATCTATGACTTCTCTCCCTCCTTTTTTTTTTTTGTTTCAAGTTGAAGGTCAGAATAACCAAAATCAGTATCAATTCTGAGTCTTTAAAAGGAATGACTACAGTCTCTTGGAATGATAACAAATGCTGTAAAATGTGCCTCTGTGCTGCCATGACAGAACAGGGACAGTTCCTATGCTGCCTCCTTCATTTGATGGCTATTTTTCTTGTTGAATAAACCCATCCCACTTTCAACACTGATTGTGTAGTACTCATTTTTGTAATAGGAATACTACTGTGTAATAAGATCTCACTAGATTTTTATGTTTTCCCATCTATTTAAATGCTTCATGCTTCACCTGTAACACCTGTAAGATTTTCAGGAATGTGCCTACCTTTTTTTTCCCCCCTTTTTTATGGTGCCCCAACATTAAGCCAGTACATGGAACTTTTGGGGTGAATACAAATGCTAGCAGATAACCACACATTTGCTAAGTTTATATAGTTACAGTTTCACATGAATTGGGATAGATTCAGGTAAAAGTATGTTTATAAAATCTGGAAAGCCTTTTACCACTGCATATGTCCACTGTTTAAAGATCACTGGCTATTTTCAGGTAACAATTAACAAAAAATATTTTATTTGAAAAAATAAACACTACCTATAGTCCATGTACTTACAAGCCTACAGTAAAACATAAGGTTTTCTTTGCATTCAGAACTCACTTCGTGCAGGCAGTCACCATGGACATTCCACATTTGCAACAGTCAAAACCAAAATATTCACAAGCTTAAACCACATAAAGGTGCATTGGTAGGTGCAAGAAAAAGACCTGTTTATAGGAAGATTGTTTTAAATTTCAGGAACTCTTCCGTAGGTGGTCCCAAGACCTTAATCAACGCAGAAAGCACAAGTACGTGGTCTGCAACTCCACTTGGGGCCACAAGATAGAGCCATCAGCACAGACTCTGCAACCCAGCAAACCCGGTCGGTGCAGGAGCCCCAAAGCCACCGCAGGTTTGGCACTAAGCTTTGTGACCTGACAGGAAAGAAACCTCGCTACAAAAACCCGATACTATTGAAAATCAGATAGTAAAGCCATGATTTAACTCTGCAAGTTAAAAAAGGCAGCATAAGTTTTAACAAACAGTTTTATTCTGTTTTGATACGCTTATACATACACAGCAAACAAGCCTGAAACTTGGTCTTTTGAGGCGTATAAACCATTTTGCAAAGAAGTATCACTTTATGCTTGCCCTATTCTTATATTTCTCCCCAGGCATCCGCTCCCCATGGAAGACTGCACAGCACCGAGGCAAGCATCAGAAACCGCCGCTGCCTTAAGTTAAGGTGCAACTCGTGCTTTGTTAATTTTCCCCATCCGTATTCACAGGGCTACGCTACCTGAGCACTTTTAATGACAAAATTGAGCTATTCCTTTTTTCCTTCCCACTGTTCCTTTCCAAGAGGGAGGGCCAAGAGGGAGCAAGGTGGCTTTTTCTCCTCAGATATGATTTAATGCAATTAGTGGGCTACCAACTACCTGTGTGCAACACAGTGCATGGGGTGGATGTCATTGCCTCCATATGTGCCTCTGGACTGCAGGGCACCAATAACTAACAGCAAGCATGACTCAAGATAACAAGGCTTATCAATGAAGGGAAATAAAACTCCTGTTTACAATTTGTTCCTATTTGATTAGAAAGTTAGAGACGAAGAAGCCACGTTTGGAGTAACTTTTCAAAGTACAGCTCAACTAAGCTCTAATCTGTATTTTTCAGTATATACTTCTGGCATAGTAAAGTGCATAGTTAAGAAAAACACTGAATATTCATTAAGATACCACAGTATGTAGTACATAATATCAAAGTGATGGTCCAGTGTTTTGTCATTTTTATACACATAGCCCAAGATCAAATAAACTCACTAATTAGACATTACACGTCACAAACCCTAATGTTGTCCATCCTTGTGGGCAGTCCACGTACTTCACGTTTCCTTCTCCTAACTTTAAACATGTTGCTGTGCTGCTGTTTTCTATAACTGCTTGGGTGAGGGCAAAATTTCAAGATGCTATAAGGCATGCAAAGAACCGCAAGATCAAAACTCATGTTCATTATGATAAATATAAAAGAAAACTAGCAGTCCCAGTTCTGCATTCATTTCATGTTTGAAATATAGAACTTATTGAAAAAGGCTATATATTGAGGTATATCTTTTTTGCAATTCATTTCACAGAGATTATTTCTTTAAAATGAAACACACACTTCAAGATGACTGAGAAATGTCCTCTGCTCAATGCACATGATGCTTCACACAAGAAGAAAGGCTAAACCAAATACATTGGGATCCAGCTGAGATTCCAACTCTGTTTATAAAGAATAACACTTAACTTTGCAAGTTCACTACTGTGTGCCTTTTGGAAGAGATGAGAACTTTGAGCAGCAAATCTGTAAGCTGATCCTAACCCAAAACTGCCAGTATCATTCCCAGCTAAGAACTTCCCTTCATCTATAAAAGTGATTTCATTTTAAAAGTACTTAGATCTGCTTTCCCTAAAGACCTGCTAAAGCTCTTACATAAACTCTATATGCTTTGCTTACAGTCAAACAGCTCACAACTCATTCAGGACAATATTCACGAAGAACATTCAAAAGCACTTTTATTTCAGTAAATACTCTCAACTTCCTACCTTCAGCAACCCTGCAGCTTATAGAGTAAAAATAACATTTCCTTTCCTTCCTCCTCTTCCCTCTGTGAACTCACAACGGAATCATTTTGTTATACAGTTTCCAATAAGTTTCTATTGGCTGGAGAATAATCCAAATAGATTCTCAAACCCTCACATACAAACTTACCAAAATGTTGGTACTTAGAAACTGGAATTATATAGGGAATTTAGTTGTAACAACACTATTTTCTATATAACTGAGATTTTTCCAAGCACAGCTGTTTTTTTCTTTCAGTACTTTGCTCCATCCTTCACTCCACTTTCTTTCCTTAATCTACTTAATGCTATCCTTGGGTTTGGGGCTGTTGCTTTTTCCCCATTATCACGATCTGTTCCTTCCTCTTTCTCATGTTGCTTTTGCTCCTTTGCTCTGAGCACAAACTTACGTTCTTTTGATCACGTAACTCCTAGTGCTCTGATGCATTTTTTCCACACACACTCATTTCTCTTCTTCCATAAAGAGTATCCAGTTCTGAACTCTCCTGTTCCCTATTGTCTGGGAATACAGAAGAACCAACTCCTCCTCCCTTTTGCCTACATAGAGAAACAGGCCAGCAATAAATACATGCTGAAAGAGAATTCTCCCACATCTGAGAAGATAACCAGCATTCACTACCTGTCCAGAAATTGCTCTCTATTGGAAGCTGCTGTTTAGCCAGTAAGGCCATCTGCACTCCCTACAGCAGAACGGCATGAGATTGTCTCGAAATTTTGATGCAAGTCTTTTTATCCTAACATTCCCCAAACTTTACAAAATTGCAACCATCTTCTAACTAAAACATTTTTGTGTGACTTCTCAACTTGGCAGAAGCACAGAGGAGCGACAGTCAGCTGGATTTCCTGGCTGCAGGTATAAATATTGACTCCTCTCCCCTGAAGGAATAAACTGCTGCCAGCAACCAGAGAAAACTCACAGTTCTCCAGTGAATGGAAAATATTGCCAACAGTTATCTCTTTCTCCCTACCCTGGAGGAACTAAGCTGCTGCCAATTAACATAGCATTTTCCTACACTTTGCAATCCCTTTGAACTTTTTCAGGATTTTAAAGGAAACAGTTTTGTCTCTATGTAAATCTATTCAGTGCAAATCCTAGTAACAAAAAACAGACTGGTAACTGTAGCAGAAGCCCCTATACAAGGGAATGTTGTTAGTTTACATCCTTTACTTGAAAAATGTAGTATTTATAACCAATTTATACAACAGCCAAGAAGAATCTAAGTCCAATGGAAAAGAAATCACAGAGATCAAGAAATGAAGAGCACAAGAGATAAACTACATTCCAGAATTATATGGATTGGAGACTATAATCCATTTCCTGTTACTGCCCACATTACTGCAAGCTGTCCTAAATGAACCATTATTTTTCCACTCAGACTACACTTATGTTATAATTTAAGTATTAATTCTGATGTTGTACCAGTCATTCCTTGAGAAATAGGATTAAAAACTGTTTTTCCTACAGCACAAACACTCACAATGTTTAATGGCACAGAAACAATTCAGAGCCAGGGCAAAAGGACAGAAGGCTAGCAACTTGAATATTGGTACGAGACTGCTACAAAAACAAAAGCTTCTCTTCCCTGGTTTGGTTTACATCTGTCCATAAATACATCAAGATACACGCAGAACTCATCTCTCACACTAGTCAAAAATACCCTCTCAGTTGCCTGAATACCTGCATTATTATATTAAAAACATTCTCATAGATGTCTTCTTTATGTAATATGTTAAAAACTCACGAAATCAGCTTCAAGTTTTCCCATTTCTTGTTTGTAGCTTCTCATTCGACTGCTGTACATTCCTCGGCTTTGAGGTGGGATCTCTCGAACTTCAAGTTCCATCTGCTCAAGCTAGCAAGTAAAAACAAAGAAGAGACATGTAAATCAAAAAGGTAATTAAAGCAAGGATTAATTTAGCTAAATTGTTCACAAACACTAGGAAATATTCCTTATCATGAAAAATATTGTTTATTCTGCAATATATAAACAATTTATCAAAATCTTTACACAGCCTTAAGTCAAGAAATAAGTGAAAAAAATAATATTATTAACACTTAGAAGGGATTATTCTAGTCAAACATTTCTAGATTTCAATCCGAATGTGACGAATACATTTTGTTACAAGAAAATAGTAAAACTGAGGTTAAATAGCTTCCTGCAAATGAGCATAGTTCAGAAGAAAGCCTATCTCCATCTAGCTGCGTGGTTTTGGAAACTCTTGGCTGAAAAAGGTCATTTGGTTTTATACACACACACACATACGTGTATATATAGATGTATATGAGTACAAACATGTGTGTGTGTATATACATGTTTAAAGTTTTATTTGCCACTAGCCTCTATGTTTAATAAAATAAATTTTGTTCATTTAAATATTGCTCCCTCAGCAGAATTGCAAAGCCTTAACTGACTGCCTAAATCTGCATTCCAAACCTGTGTGTAGGTATATTAAATAGCTGAATTTCAGGGTTTAATGACAATATGACTCAAGAACTCTAACAGAGTTGAATGCTTTAAAATGTCAGAGATATATTCTATCTTTCAAAAGCTTTTTCTATTTATTCTTGCCATATAGAATACTAAGGAGCCTGTAACACAAGACTATGGCACAGAGGTACAGAAAAATCGAAAGGAGTTATAAACCAGGGTTGAGCTGCCTGCTAATTACCTGACCATTGGCTCATGTAGCCTCCACTACATGGTGCTGTCCATTCAGGAATTCTGTCTGGCACAGCTGAAGAAGCCCTTAACCTGCCTTTTAAAATCTTTCCAGCTTACTCTAAAAAGATAAAAGAATACCTCTCCTTGGCTGCTCTAGGCACCTGAAACAATATTTACTCACCTCCTACTGGTCTCGGTTGAGAAACATGGCATTGGAACAGAAAGGCCTTTCAACTAGGGTCCCACGCTACTGGTTACAGCACTTCACAAGGGACAGCTACAGTTTATTCTTACGTAATCGCTTGCTTACACTTTGAAATTTCATCCTCATATCATAAGAAAAGCATCTGAATTTAATCAATGGAATTACCAGATACTCAAGTCATTCCGCCTGATCTATTCTGATTATACAAAATTATATTCAATAATAAACTGTAAAGCAGACTTTAATTAAATAGTAATGAATTGAAACATATAAAGCAATTTCTAATTCTACGCAGTTCTTTGGCTCAGGCTTAACTTTCCAAAGGGGTATTATAAATGAAACTGATAGCTGGAGTTAATGGCTTATTTCTTATCAATTTCATCTCAATATATTTCATCTGAAATGCTCTAAAAGCATAGAAAACATTCCTCTCATATATATAGAAAATTATATGTGCAAGGTCAGGATACTTAAATGAATTCTCAATTCTTATCTACTACATAAAAATGCAAACATTTCCCAGTGAATACAGAATTTGCAGCAAGAACCAGATCACGGTCCCTGAAATTGAAAATGTTCATTCTAAAGTGTCAGTATCAGAGAGTGTAAGGTCCAAGGAATAATGAGGAACCATGCATAACCAATGTTTAACATTTTTTTTGTCATTATGAGATTAAACTTACACATTTTGTATCTGGGCTGTTAAATTTCCATGCAAAGTCATGCAGAAGATAGTGGTCCAAGCAGGTGCGAACCTAAATGCAACCTAATTTCATGCATCTTCACTTTCAGACTCATATTATTGGTCACAAAATTGTATTTTTCATACACAAGCAAGAACAGAGCTAAATTCTACTAAAAGCTAAGAATAATCTGGCACTTAAATATCAAAACATCTGTAGAAGCTCAAGGTTTCTTTAGAAAACCTAAAAGCTCAAAACTTCTGTTATTGCTTATGTTCAAACTCACTACCACTGTGCTGAAGCTCAGCATTTTGGCACCCAACTCTTGACCAGGTCATATCCTTAAGGCTTCTCAGGTGTTTAATCTAGCAGGTTTGTTCTCGACAACACCCAGTACACTCACAGCATCGAATTCAGCATAAAGCAGAGCAGCCACTGGTATTTCCATTCAAAAATACAACACAGTAAGGTAGCACTGCTGATGTTGTCCATTGAGACTCCAAAATAAGCCTCCCCCTCCCACAGGAACTTTTCTACATGGAAATTGCTCTGGAGAGTTGCTAGCATTTCATGAAATTTGTAAGTTTTGGTATTTTATTCCGATTCTAAAGTCATGGAACTAAAATAGAGATCTATATTTAAAAAAAACAAGTGTCTAAATAAGAATAACCTAGCATCTGCAACACTAAATTCACATGCATTATTAAAAAGCCAAGTGTCTAGATAAAAATAACCTGGAATTTGCAACACAACAATTTTATGTTGTGCCCCTCATAAAACATAAAGGCAAATAACACACAGACAATTTTTTCTTCTTAAAAGCAAAATTTCACTCCAAAAATGCTAATTCCAGCTCTTCTAGCACATGCTAGATTTTACACTTAAAGTACATCCCTAAGGTTATCACAACATTCACCTTTCTTAAAAACCTGGTAAAAAATAACATTCAGATACTCCACACAGGATGTAGAATGACAGGATTTCTCTCCAGAGATCTCTTAACAGCTCTGGCTTGAAAAGGCAGCCTGGGAGCCTGAAAAGTTTTGGTGTCAGTTCTGCACATAGATCAAATCAATTACCCCAGTGATTTTACCCAAACAAAGCAGACAGTGTTTTGAAACAACCAATGGTTAGTCAATATAAATAAACTATCTCTACAATAATATTTATGGTATATGAGACTGTCATTTCCTAGCCAAGGAGGAAATAAACCAAAATTGGCTAAATCCAGCTTTGACTGCTCAAGACAATGAAGCAAACCAATGTATGAAAACTATCAGTAGCAAGGGATTAGGTTTATTTTGATTTTCTACTGTAGCCTTTAGTTTAAAAGAGGATCTTTTTAATCAGTTCTGTTATTATCAGGTTTGTTCAAATTGGTTTTTAAACCCAAGCCTTGACATTAATCACAAACATGATAGGTAATTGCTTAAAGGCAATAATTGAATTAAGCACCTGTCTAGCAGCATTAGCAATGCCATCTAAAACAAAAGCGTGAAAGAAAAGCCAGTACATTAAGATCATCATTAGGATAAAAGAACAGATACAGGATTTACTTTTTAATCTTGTAATACATACAAATTTCGATGATCTTTTTCTGACATAAGGAGAAAAGTAATGAGCCATTAACTCAATTTCTGCTCCTTCCAATCTTACTATGAGTAGAAAACTAAATTTGAATTATTTTTCATCAGACCACCCATGCTACCATTTCCCTGTACTGCTATGCTTTTTTGCCATGTCAAGATGTAGTGAAAGGGAGATGAAAAACATTTCTAGATTTTTATTTTCTTTCAGATGCTTGAATATTAAAGTGTCCAGAAGGTCTTAATATACCTTCAGAACATCTTAATTAGATGAGACAGTAATTTTACTGTGTTTCTCACTGAGAATACCAAATCAGAGAGGTTAGGCACCTTGTCATCCTCATGGAGTAAACCTGCAGTGGAGTCATCCCAAGATCCAGCTTTCCTGGATGCTATTCCAATGGTCTACAACACTAATCCAATTCTTAAATCATAAGCACCAGGTACGTCAACAAACACTTTAGAGAACTTTTTCTTCCTATGCCACTTTAAAAAGTTAATTTCAGTGTCACTGTTTAGTTAGTAACCAAATCATTGATTCAAGTTGCTCAATCATAAGAACTTCCAGGCTAGGAGAACTAATTTCCGTTCCCTAGCCTAACAGTCAGATTACATTTCTGACACTAGATGGACCAAATTCATTTGTAAGCAATAAACAAAAGCAGCTTCTGGCAAGGAACTATTGGCTATGTGGGGAAAAGCCAATCTCAACTGTCACCAACACCTTCGCTCACTTACTCCACATCTACAAAACTTTACATTTACAGTCCATCCAGATGGAGCACATGACAGGCTGTAATGGGAAAAAAATAAATGAAAAAAAAGTCACAGTTTTTTAACACATATTGCTTTCTTCTGCCGGTGCAGACCACTAACTAATGCTTGGTTAATATATATACTCTTCTCAGATCAGTAACCCACACTACCATTGCCCCCTTGGCCTCAAAAACTACCTTTATGCCTCACTCACTAAACGAGAGAAAAAGATCTGCTGTTCTACAAGATAATCAGATAGATTAAATCAAGAAGATGCATGGGTCCTACAAGAAAACAAACCTAAACAGTCCAGGTGTGTAAACATTTAATTCAATTCCGAAAGTAAAAGAACTAATCCACAACTCAAAGCCTGCAGCAACCTGTAATAGCTTACCGCAATAATGCAAACCTTAAATCACTTCACACAAGGTTAACAAAGGATATGCTCCTCTTGGGTATTTCATATCATCAAGTAAGAACTACTTCAAAAATACTACTTCAATTTCTAATATATTATTGTTAAGTATTTTTAGGACATCCTGTGTGTTAAATGTTACCACTAATAATCCTATTATTTTCCCTAGGAATTTGCAGTTAACACACGAATAGCCAAAACATACCAGTTCCCTTGCTTCTTCGAGCTGTTTCTCAACATTTGCAACCATCTGCTTCTTGTCATCTGAAACAGAATTGTGAAAAAAACAATATAATTGTGCACTTGCCATGAAAGAAAAATATACCATTTCAAAAGCTTATATGTACCAGCTAAAACTGACTCAAGGAATTTATTCTGTGTGACATCATCATGCACTGTGTTACTCACATTAGTAATTAAAAAAAAAAAAAAAAAGGAGATTAGAGACTCCTTGAAGTCTTCTCCTTTGATATGCAGCATTTGCTAGTTAGGAAAGCAGCTACAGCTGCTCCAGTTGCAGGAGATACGTCTCAGCAGGCACTTGCTGGGTGTGCGCAAATGCATGAGAAGGCACATACTTACGCCAAATGGAAAAAAAAAAAAAATGGTTTAAGAACAAAGGCTTATCCTATTTATTCGCAAAATATGAGATGCACAAAACCAAGCATCCCACTTCTAATGAATGCAGGCACTGAAGAAAACTGAGGTTTCTATTCGCCTGCTCCCATGCTGGCTCTAGAATCCTGTTTCTTCTGCTTCAACAGAAACAAAATGAAATGTCATGGGAACTACACGAAAACCACTGTTTTCTAGTAGCAGTAAAAATGTAAATTAGTAATAAAAAATGAAAATTTTAAAAAATTGAAATCAGTTATAAGCTATACGTAGCAATCCTCATTTGCCAGGTTCCTCAACAGTCTATATCCCAACTGCAGAGAGCATGTCTGACTTTCGAGCTGCCTCTAACCATCCACTTCCCGCCAGAGAACCCAATATGAACTGAGAACTGAGATTCAGCGTCACATCTGCCAAATATTCCGATTGCTTGACCACTTGGTTTGTTACAGCATGAGAGGGGACTTTCTGATGAATATTCAGTCACCGGATAATAAGAAGTCCCCACATTGCTTAACGACTGTGGGCATTCAAGGGCTGCAATACTGCCATTTGCACCACCCCGTGCCCCTCTCAAGGGGACATCTTCCATCCTTCTGACTGTAAATCCACACACCGTCTCAATGAAGTTAACCACAAAACTCTGAACATACAACCCTTTACACCACTGTTCATTTGAAACCAAGAGCATCGTGAGACATCTGTGCTGGTGGTTTGCCTGATGAAGCAGATAAAGTGAATTGCACAAAAGTATCTCCAGTCCTGGCTCCCCAGAGATCATGATGGGTAAGTCCACGCTGGCACAAGAGATTTTACTGTGTATCTTTAGACTTTGTGGTTTTCTTTTTTAGCATGAATTCCTCTGCTTCTCTTCCACATGATTTCTTTGTATCCTAGAACTGACACATTAAAGACCAAAAGAGACTATCTGATGATCTCCTTTGATCCTCTGCATGCCACTGAATTTCAAGACAGACTCCTTTTATTAAATATATATAATTTAGCTTCTCACAGGCTGAAATGCTTTATTTTTAAGCAAACGTAGTGCCATAGGCAGGAATGGGGAGATGCTGAGGTAACAACCAAAATCAGAATTTCTGCTGTGCAAAGTAAAACATGCCCTTAAAACAACCTTCCTTAAAAGCAACAGAACCACTTCTGAAAGGACTATACTGCTACAGTTTTTGGTGAAGCATCCCCAGCATAAGTCAATCACGTTTCAGCTGAGCCCTCCCACCACTGTTCCACAGTACCCTGCATTGCATTTGCATGGGCCTATCCATCTATCTTCTCATTTACCTCAGATACTCTATACTCTCATCTAATGACACATGAACATCACAACCTGTCCTTCAGTTACATATATTGGAGCTCTGCCAGCAGAAAGGATCACCTTCAGGATCATCTTTCCACCTTTAAGATAATGCAGAGATCATTGCAAACAACCAGCTACACAAGGACTTTTAGAAAAGCTGTCCTCTGATGATACAACAGTATGTCTGGCAAAACATAGCTAGAATAAAACCCTGAAGAACACTAAAGCCCTCTGAGTAAAGGGAACTCTGCCAGTGACACGGGTGAGAAGTTACTACATCCTTCCAAACAGTTTCCCTTCTTATCCTTGAAAGAGTCCTAGAATTTTAACAAGTAACCCTCTCTACAAAGCTAAAGCCATGGAAAAACAGCATCTTTCTTGCAAATCAGAAGAAGTAAGAAATGCTCATTTCTGTGCAGCACTTCAGTTCTCTGCTAGCAATGTCTTCTGAATTTCTCACTAGGCTCTCAGGATGGCACCTGAGACTAAACCAAAAAGAAAGAAGAATCTGCCACTTGTTTGCCTGCACATTTCAATTCTCCTATCCAGCATCCCAGAACACCTCTGTTCTTTCTTCGTTTGGAAGTGGGCAAGATGATAATGGATGAAAGGAAAAAGGAAGGTAAGATACAAAACACACAATACCATTTTATTGAAGCTGAAATAAAATTTAAATATATAGCGGCAGAAAATAAACATACAATGTGCAATTGCAGTATTTCCCCAAGTTTTACTGGATTACAATTTCCATACACATTAAGTAACCTGAAATGTAGGGATATAAAGTTGGAGTTTTGGGGAAGATATTTCATGCTTGTCGTGGCTTAACTCAGTCAGCAATTAAACACCACACAGCTGCTCACTCACTCTCCCTCACACCCAGGAAACGGGGAAGAGAATTGAAGGGGAAAAGGGAAGGAGACTTGTGGGTTGAGATAAGAACAATTTAATAATAATAATAATAGTAATAATAATAAATGAAAAGCAATAATGAGAGAATAATACTACATGAATATATACATATATAGTTATAACAATATACACAAACAAGTGATGCACAGTGTAATTCCTCACCATCCAGTGACAAATGCCTGTCCCGTCCTGGCAAGCAATCCCAAAACACCTAGATAAGTCCCAACACCACAATCCTGGATGAGTGAGTGGCACGACAAGAGAGCAGGAAAGAGACAGAACTCCGAGAAACTGAGAGTGCCCTCAGAAGAGCATCCCAAACTTCTTGGTCCATCCTTACCTACCTACTGGGCATGACACTGCATGATATGGAATGCTTCACTGGCCGATTTGGCCCTCAATCTTCAGTCTTAAGTTCAAATAATAAGAGGCATTGTGGGCCCTTTGTCCCAGCCATGCTGCCCCCCAATCTGTTGTGCTCCTGCACACTGGCAAAACACGGGAAGCTGAAAAGTCCTTGATGTCTCGGTACCAACTATAATCATCAGTGTGCTATCAACATTCTTCTCGTAACAAATCCCATACTAAATCCAAAACACAGAGCTCTTCTAGCTGCTAAAAACTACCTCTGTCCCAGCTGAACCCAGGACAATGCTGCACAAATTCTGTGTGTACTTGTGATTACAAGAACTACCTAGCACTCCACTGGCAACTAAGATCTCATCTATCCACAGAGATATTAAGGTACAGACCTTTGGCAGGGAAAAGTCATTAGTACACAAGGAGGGGTCTGGCTGAAACCGCTCCCATAAAATTGAGGGGGTATTCAAATGATCTTCAATCGTTTAGAGTGAATTAAACTTTAACCCAACTCCAGAGTTGCAGTTCAACATTGTCCCAGATTTATCAATACATAATCACCCAGACGGTGACCAGAGCAACTGCTGGGAGCGAGGCCGACTGACAACAGGCTTTTGTTGTTCCTTCAAATACAGATGCGTGAGCAGGCACATGGCAACACCCTGGCACTGCAGCTCTGGAGCAATATCTTCATGGATTTCCAGAAAAGCAGCTGAACTTACAGCAACTTCTGATCCTCTAGGGCACACAATACCATGTAGTCCCAGAAGAAGAGGCAGTAGGATCCAACAGGGTCACTTTGGTAAGGAAAAGCAAGCCTACCAAAGTATTAGTATCATCCACTTGGTTTTGCTTTCTTCTATTCCTCAAGCCGCATCCATGTAAAATCCTAGTGGGAGTATGCTGCCTGGAACCACTTGCCTGCCAGACTATCAATACCTCTAGACCTGTTGTTGTTATCAGCAACAGAAGCATTACCTACAACACTGTCAGAAAGTACTTGCTGGAATGGTTTTCAGACCATTTACTTTCAGTTTTCTCACCGTGGTTAAGCTAAGGAAACAACTTATTTCACAGTCAGAATCCCCATAGAAAGGAGGGCACAATATCCACAGGATGACTTGTTCAGAGACTGCAGATGAGGTCAGAGGGAGTTACCCAGAGTAAGAGAAGCTTGCCACTAATCTAGTAGATCGGGACAAACAAGTTATGATCTAATTAAAGATCCTCATACTAACTGTATTACTCCACTGTGTCTTAGTAATTTTCAATCTGCCTACTTGATCATTTCCTTAAATACACTTCCATCATAAGAAATGATGAAAAGGGGTTTTTATAACTTTTTTCTTAATTCAGAATTGATAATATCCTTTAAAGAAAATAAAAAACAATGATCCATCAAATACATCTAAATTCAGAATAGAATTTTTTGTCTCCACATTGCCAGACAGAATGTCTTAAAGAAAATATTGCATGTAGCTTGTATAATTTCACTGGTCAAATTGACAAAATATGGATAAAGACTGGAAACAAAAGCATTTTTTTCCTCTGGGTAAGGATCGCAAACAAAGAAATCCATTCTGCATTTGTACACAAGGTTTTATCACTTTCTTAAAAGAAACAAGCTTTTACTACATTTTCCTTGGTTCTTTCAGCTTTGCCCTTGCATGAGTCACCGCTTTCTCTTGCAAAATACAGCTGTTACAGAAAGGCAGAAATCTTCCTACAAGTGTAGAAACATAACACGGCACTGGTTTGATCTCGCAATCAATGAAGAGATTAAAAAAATCTGAACCAAGACCGAGGAGCCTCCTTGCTTGTGGAATTGCTTCTTTTTATTAGTATACGGTGAGGAAGAGATTGAGTAACAAAGGGCTTCAGTTCATAGACAGCTTGCAGATTTTGCTACGCTGGCTGAGGTGATTTACATGCTCATCACTGCCAGAAGTTGATGTCCAACAGCAGAGAAAAATGGAACAATATATGCTTTTCTCTCTTTGGGTTACAAAACTGGGTTCGAGAGGCACAATATAACAAGCCAGACCTGAAACGGAGACAGTAAACTCCAGTACAGTACAACTGAAAATTAAAGGTGGGGCTTTCTTCAGCTAAATCTGTTAGAGACTGAAATACAGTGCTTTGATTGCCCAGTAGAAAATGCAGGCATCGAGTTATCAGAAGAATGACAGCATTGAAGTCTAAAACTATCACGACTCAGCAGCCACTGTGCTGGGAAAAGGCTAAATATCACAATTTATGCTGATAAAACTCTCTTTCAGATCAAGCAATCAAAATTTACATAAAGTTTTGGTCACAAGACAGATGCTTCACTGAAACACCAAGGAACATTAATAAAACACATCAGCCAATGATTTTCATTCTTCAAAGAAATGCAGCAGCATCACAGAAAAAAGCCATTTCTCTGTTTAGAACACTTTCTTTAATTCTCCAGATGTTTGCCTCAACAGAAGACATCTCTTCCCAAGACATTCTGTTGTCCCTGCTACTTATTGTTTCTGTCGTATCAGAGTGCCCTTGTTACATTTCTTGCTGAACTATTTATGCATTTGTGACAATAGAACTGTTTGTTGAGCCATCATCCTCCTAGAACACAAGACCATATCAAGTCCTGACAACACCAAATGCAGGAATGTTGCAAAAGCAATTATCCAGTATTTCTCCAATTCAACTGAATGCGAAGCTTACAGCAGGTCCATCTTGGGTAGCAGAGGAAATAAACCAATCAACAGACTTCAGGAGATGTCTCTGCATTATACAGAAGTAGCACAAGTCCTTACACTTTTCGTCCTGCTTCTTCCAGCGTGGAGGAAGAAGGCCATCAGCAATCTCTCTCAAGTCACTGCTGCTGAAAACTGCCACCTCACGGGCATCTCTCTTCATGTCCCCCTCCCACCTCATAATCCTCTTTTTGAGGCTCTCCCAGTCATCTCTGCAAGAACTAATTGGAACTTCTGGTGATGAAGAAGCAAAGATCTTGCAAATATTCCTATTAAGAAACAAGGGAAAAATGTGTATTTAAAATATTTCTGATTAAAGTGTTCAGCATAGTCAGAGATTTACTTTTTTTTTTCCCCAGGTAGTCAAATGGCTCTGTTGGCTAAGACTGCAATTTGTTTTGAAGTCATACATGAATTTTTTGCTGATGAAAGACAGAACTGCCCTGAAAACGAAGCGATGCACTCACTCATAAACATACGGTGCAAGAAGTAGCTATAAGCAAGCCAGTCTAAATCACGTATGACCAGCCTCAAATCCTAACATGGAAAAGCCATTTCTTTAAAAAAAAAAAAAATAGTAAAATTAACTATTGTCTTATCTTGAAGCCATTTAGCCCACTATTACACTACTGATCCCACAGGGAACATGCATTCTTTCTCCTCTGAGAGGACAGCAAATTCTAAAAAAAACTTCCAATGACCACAAAAAAGAACCATGGTTTCAAAGCCTGGTGCTTCTAGGCTATGTCACTGCTTAAAACGATACTCTTTAAACATCTCATATTTAAAGTCCAAAGTGGGAAATAATACCTTGAACAGGTACTTTACACTAGTGAAGAATTCACTGCACACCCTCAGTACATTGTTCCAGTGGCCATTTACAGGTTAAATATCATTTCTCAACAGACTAAATTACACCAGGCCTAAATTTCAATCGCAGGAACTATTTGGATCTCTCCCTTCTTCATTTGCAAGTGTCCATTACAAAACAGAAAAAGCTTTCTACCTCATAATCACCTGCAGATTGTGACTGAATTATCTTCCCGTGTGTCCTTTTTGTTAAGCTCAACAGCGAAGCAGTTTTGTTAAGCCAAGGAAACGGTATAGTTTCCTGTTTTTCAATCGTGACTGTGGTTGATCACTGAATCCCAATGTATCAGAAGACTTTCTAACTTGCTAAGATTAGAATTGGACATAACCTTCCAGAATCAGACAGATTTTTACTCAAAATCCCGCTGTTTATTTATTTCAGATGTATTTTGGACCTCTGAATTAACGTTGCACTGAGATCATATGTTTTAGTGGACCACCTACCTCGAATCCTGTTTAGAGTCACTACTTCATCACTTCATGATGTGTTTCCCACCCTAAAAGCAGGCTGTTATTCCTTGGTCCTGGATGCATGATATTTTTTCTTTTAGTCATGTGGAAAAGTATACCGTTAGCGTGTGTTTATTCCCTCCTTATATGACATCCACTTGTACAATTTAAATATCCTAAAGCTTTGGGAAATGTGTATAGGATGCGGAGACATAAATATTGAATGATCTGGAAACAGAACAGGCATTAAGCTAAGCTACAAAAGAAACAGATGGGAAATCTACTAGTTTCAGCTTCCCTGTCTCACACTAGGAGCCCTATATCAGGGCACCAATTCGTATGCACTAGAAGATTCAGCTGGAACAGTTAAAGCGATGATCATTTTCAGTTTTCTACCCTTTTATGACTTCTGTAGTCATTATTGTCTCTACTGCAGGGACACATTATGAATCAGACCACGAATGCTGCAAGCTACTGACAAACAGATTAAAGTAAATGAACACTGAATTCTTTGCATCTACACCTACATGTGAGTCGCCACAGTCAGTTATTCAAATCAAATGTTTCAAACACGGGGCAGCAAAAATACAGATTCATATTAAACCATGCATAAATTCCGTCTATGCCAAACAAAACAGGCTTGATTTCCATTACTGACGTTGTGGCACGATCACAACAAAAAGCGTTCGGTAGCAGCGCTGGTGCAGGAAACACCACCCAGCTGCGACCCCCGCTCTGCTCAGCCCTTCCTCCAGCTGCACTGACATAACCCTGCGCCACCCCACAGCAGGTGAGAAGGGCCGATCCCGGCAGCTGAGCAGCAAACTACGTCCTGCCAGGTTGTTAACACGTCCACGAGACGACTCGCTGCTCGAACAGACGCGCACCCGGGGCGGGGAGGTGAATCCTCGTTCTGCTGCGGGCTGAGCAAGAAAACACACTCGGGTGACGGGACGCACGGACAGCCCACGCTAAAAACACACCAACAGCCCCGTCACGACCCCAAGCGCTTGG